CGTCCCACGCGCGCGCCGCCGTCGCGCGCGTCGACGAGAACACCATCGCGGTCACCTTCATCGATCGCGACGGCGTCACCGTCGACGCGCGGGCGGTGATCGGGGAGAATCTCCTCGACGCCGCGCACGCGCGCGGGGTCGAGTTAGAGGGCGCGTGCGAGGGGTCGCTCGCGTGTTCCACCTGTCACGTCGTCTTCGACAGCGAGGACGTCTTCGCGTCGTTACCGGAGGCGTGTGATGATGAGAACGACATGTTAGATCTCGCGTACGGGTTGACGGCGACGTCGCGATTGGGGTGTCAGGTGATCGCGACGCGCGGGGCGATGGAGGGGTGCGTCGTGCGCGTACCGCGCGCGACGCGGAATTTCGCGGTGGATGGATTTAAACCGAAACCGCATTAGAACGTTGGTGAGAACGATGTCTCGGTGGCGCGTTGATGATTTTTTTGATACATTCTTTGCGATTGACATGTTCTTCGTCGCGCGCGTCCGTCGTCGTCGACGTCTCGCGCGTCAGTCAAAGTAATCCTCCAAGTCCATCTCGGGGTCGAGCAAGGTCGCACCGAATCTGCTGAGATCGACGCGGTCGAGGATTAAATTTTCAAACGTTTCCTCGAGATCGGTGTCGCCGATGAGCACGGCGCCGCGCATGCGACCGCGCGCGAGGAGGACGCGCACGTACGTCGGCGCGTCGCCGTCGAACGTTTCTCTCTGATACGTCACGACGTCCTCGTCGCGTTCACCCTCGAGTTTTTGTGCGTTATACAGGCCGAGCAAGACGACTTTTAAGCCGAAAAAGGTGGTGACGTGGGTGAAGAGCTCAAAGTTGAATCCAAACGCCTCGGCGTCGGCGACGCCGGCGACGACGCGCGCGGCGAACGCCCCCGTCTGCGCCGCCTGACTCCACAGTCGCATCTGAAACCAAGGCACGTCCGGCGCGGCGCTTCGAGATTCCATCGAACACGCGTCACCGACGGCGAAGATTGAATCGGCGTGCGCGCCGACGGTTCGCATGCACTCGTCCACGAGCACGCCGCCGTCGACTTTCGATCGAGGCGCCGCGGATTCCGGGAGCCAATCGCACCGTGGATCCACCCCCGCCGCGGCGACGACGATGTCGACGTCGATCGTCGTGCCATCGCTCAGCGTCAACGCGCTCACGTTCGTCGTTTCGTCGCGCGTCGCGTCTCGAATCTCCGCGTTTTTCACCACGCGCAGACGCATGCGTCGTCGACGTCCCCCGACGCCCGCGGCGCGATCGAAATCATCGAGCCAATCCGGACCCGCGGCGGCGCCGAAACCGGCGCGCGTTTTCGCCGTCCCGTGACCCGCGCGCGCGCGTTTTCGCCCGCGGTCGCGCGTCAACGGAATCTCCGCGCGCAGAAACGCGCGCGTCTTCGCCGCGCCCGTCGACGCCGCCGCGCGTCTTCGCTCGAGCGCTCGAGCGAGAAACCCCCCTGCGTCGACGTCG